TGCTTCAAAGGACACCATCAGGGGAGTAAAAAATTCCTCTGAAAAGGAGAAAAAATTTGGAAATTATATATCTGATAATGGACTTACCAGATATGTAATTATATAAAACAAACTTATAACAATAAAAAGACAGATAACCCAATCAAAAATGGGTAAGGGATTTGAAATGCAAATCAAAACCATAGTAAGATACCACTTCATAGCCACTAGGATGAATATAATAACAAAATAGATAATAGCAAGTGTTGACAAAAACTTGGAGAAACTGGAACCCTCATACATTGCTGGTGGGAATGTAAAATGATTCTTCTGCAAATTTGGAAAAGAGTTTCGTTCTTCAGAAAGTTAAACACACAGTTACAAGGTAATCCAACAATTCTACTTCTAGGAATACGCCCAAGAGAACTGAAAACGTGTTCACACAAAAACCTGTACACAAATGTTAAGAGTAACATTATTCATAACAGCCAAACAGCGGAAACAACCCAAAAGTGTATCACCTGATGAATGGACAAATAAAATGTGCTATATCCATCCAACAGAATATTATTCAGCAATAAGAAGGAATGAAGTACTGATACATGCTATAATCTGGAAAAAAACTTAAAAACAGTAGGCTAACTGAAAGGACCTAGTCACAAAAGACTACATGTATTGTTAAATTTGGCCTAAACTGGGCTCCATACTTGAGTGATAACATTTGGCCAAAAGTGGCTTCCATATGTACTGAACTGCAAGCTAGCTTGATGTGCGAGCAAGGTGTAACCTAGCTCAAGAGTATACCCTCCTAAACATGCAACTGAGCCTCAGCCAATCTCAACCTTTTTCTTGCTCATATAAACTTTGTTAGATTTAACAGGTCTCAAGCTTTTTAACAGTATAAAACCATTTATATGAAATGTGCAGAAGAGGCAAATTCACAGAGACAGAAGGTAGATTAATGGTTGCCAGGGTCTGATGGGAGAGAAGAATGCAGAATGACTGCTAATGGGGGTGATCTATCTTTCTGGGGTGATAAAAATATTTTAAAATTGATTGCGGTGATGGCTGCATAGCTCTGTAAATATACTATAAACCACTGAGTTGTGTACTTTGAAAGGGTGAATTTTATGGCCTGTAATTACATTTCAGTAAAGTTGATATAAGAAATTAATTTGCTAACGCACATGCAAAAACAAATCTCTACTCCTGTAGATGGTTAATTACCTAGGTGAGAGGGAAGACCATAAATCTTAAAGATTTTCAATTAAAATGTTTACTTAGAAAGGTTAAAACAGAGAAAGTATGAAGAAATCATCTCTAATACAACCACAACCCAGAGATAACTTGCCATAAATGTAATTTACTTTGTTTTTTTCAAAGTTTGTAAATTTTAAAAAATGAGGCACTAAAATTATGCCTTGACTTTTACTTGTTATATCATTGACATTTCTCTATATTAATATCTTTGACAGTAAACACATGTAGGGATAAAGAGTCAAGAGAATTGGAAGAGTGGTTCTCTACCCTGGCTGCATGGCAGAATCACTTGGGAGCTTTAAAAAACCATGCTCAGTCTCCACCAAGACCAGTGAAATCAGAATTTCCAAGGGGCATAAATGGAGTCTCAGTCATACTTTAGATCTGAGTATTCCTGTGCAGCCACCTGTAAGAACCAGTGGTGTATATGACAAGTGAGACTTCTGCCATCCCAGATTTCAGTCCTACCTTCTAGAAACACTAATTTGTACACATGAGGGTACTTCAAAAAGTTCATGGAAACAGAGTTAAAAGATATATGAATCTTTCCATGAATTTTTTTTTTTTTTTTGTCTTTTTCCGTGTCCGGCAACGGATTGCAACCCTCAGTGTTGCCCCCGTACCGGACCGGGGACCGGCAACGGGATCGCAACCCTCGGCGTTGCCCCCGTGCCTCACTCAGCCAGTGAGCAGGAACCGGTCTGTATGTGGGATCCGAACCCTCGGGTGGGAGCGCCGCCGCGCTTCCCAAGCGGCGCACTTATCCAGGGCGCCACCAGGCCGGCCCTTTCCATGAATTTTTTGAAGACCTCTTGTATCTCCAGAAGCTGTAATTTGCATTTCTTAAACTCATGGTGAGATTAAGTGTATTTTTACAATTTTATCATTTATATTTTTCTGAACTGAACCTATTTAGAGCCATTCCAAATACTTCTATTGATTTTCTTACTCATCCCTAAGAAGTCTCTTTTTTCACGTTAAATAGATCATCTCACCTACAAAATAAAGCCAGTATACTTACATAGCAATTACTATGAACTGGACTTTTTTTTTTTTTTTAAGTTCTATAGAGATATTAATTCATTTAATGCTCCCAGCAACCCTATGAGGTAGGTATCACCGTTATTCCTATGGAAGAGATAAGGAAACTTCAATAAAAGGTGTTAAATATGCAAAGGAAACAGGATTTGAATGCAGCCACTCTGGTTTAAATGTCCAGCTAACCACTGTCTATCGTGACTCATACGAACAGTAGCGCACAGCAGATTTAAGAATGGCAACCAAGATACCTAGACACAAGAAAATGTATACAATCTGATCACTGCCACGGGCTGTAGTAGTTGTTCTTTTGTAGAACTGCACTGTCCAATATGCTAGCCACATGTGACTAGCAAGCAATTGAAATTCAGGAGTGTACTAGGAGTTCTTTCTGGTCAACACTTTTCTTCAATGACTTGGAAGAAGCATGAAAGACATATTTGCAAATAACACAATTAGCCTATCTTCCAGAGGGTACTTTTTTGAGGAGGGAAGGGAGTCACAGATCTCTTTGAGAATCTGATAAAGCAATGCACCCTGCCCCCAGGAAAAAAAATACAAACACACACATTTTACATACAATTTTAGGGGGTTCTAAACCAAACTAAGAATCCTTAGCTAGAAGTTATATAGATGCAGGTTTCGTTTAATATAAGAAACTATTTCTTCCTTGACCTCTACAGCAATAGTTCTGGTCAGGGAAATTCCTATCAAATAGAAGAATTCCTATCAGTGTGGGGCAGTGTGGGGGAGAAGTCTGCGGCTGGTAAACTGAACTGTCCTTCCCACTATTAGGAATCCCTAGGCTAAAAGGAGTTTTTAAATAATTTCACAATATTAAGGTAAATGTTTAAAATACTATTGGATATTGTCGTTTGCATTAAAATTTTAAATAATCACAATGTCCATACTAGTAACTGAATCAGGATCAAAACAAAGATCATCCAGTAACATAACTTACTAAACAGATGTGAAAAGGATTTTATTCACACGACACACAACTACAATGACGGCAGGGATATAGATTCTTTCTTGTATTATAAGCAATAAAATATCTCTCCATAGGTGCTTTTTGAAAAACTTGGCTGCACTAACAGGCATGATAGCAGGAACCCTATACTTTCGCATTATAAGCTCTTGTTTTGTTCTTGGTTATAAGGATTTTTTAAGCAGACAGTATGGGTCATCACCAGATACCATAACTATGGGTTATCTTACTGGCAGCAGGACAAAACTTTTACATTCTGGGGTCTATGCTATAGGTAATTGCTCTCTAAATGTCAAGAGCTTTTACACACCAACCTGAGAGAAGCTGTATCTCAATTTCAATTCTACCCTTAAAGGGAAGTAGGCAAATCAAAGTATTTGATAGTGATGCTTATTTTTTAAAACTCGGGTTCTCAGAAATCCTAAGTAGGGAAAACTTTCTATTATTCTGAAAAATATTTCCTGGATTTTGTTTGAATTTCTTCTATTTAAATCTTACCACTAGTTCTGCTAATAATCTTGAAAGAGCTCCAACCTTGAAATAATTTATAGACACATTATTTTCAAAGTTCCTTCAATGTTTCCTACCTACAATCATATTAAACCATAATGAGATTTTATACATGTCTGTTGCCAACACACAGTGCTGCTGTGTGGAAATTATTTTCCTAATAAGGAAGTGTTCAAAAGGGCTGTGAGCCTCAAGGAGAAGCCGGGTGTGTGTGTGTGTGTTGCACGCGCGTTAGTAATTTGTTCACAGAATCCCAGTGACAGACTTTATTCACTTAAAATTCCCAACTTCATTATTTTTATTTTTCTGTTAGGGCAGGAAGTCAAGGTATTATTGCACCCCTTCATTTCTCTACTTTCTCCAGTTTCCATTGCCTGAATTTCTCTTTCAAAGCCATCTTTACAAATGGAAAAAAAAAAATCTACCATCAGTAGTAGACTTCGTGTGATATGGAGGGTTCTTTTTTTCCTAGTTCAAGTAATTGCTTTCTAGAGAAAGCTTAATGACAGTGTACCTATTTTCTATAGAAAGGGTTGTTAAATTCCATCAAAATCTGTCATATCTTTTCCTTAGCTCTTAACAAAAGAAAAGACATCTAGACATTAAGGAGCCAGAAAGAATTTCAGGGGTTATTTTTGAGTTATAACTTCCATCTGCTTTAGCTGTAAATACAGCTGATGAAGAGAATTATTCAGGACAGTGGTTTTCAAACTTTAATGTATAGTAGAATCATCAGGAAGACTTATCAAAACAGATTGCTAGGCCTCATCGCCAGAGTTTCTGACTCAGTGGGTCTGGGGTGGAGCCCAATCATTTCCATTTCAAACAAGTTTGTGCTGCGGCTGGTCCAGGGATAATGCACTGTAAACCCCTGGTACAGGAGACCTCTGATATATTCCTGGCTGCAACGCCATCTTTCCTTTCTTAATTCAAATCTTCACGGCTGAGGCTCTCAAGTCATATTCTAGACTAGTACCTAAAATGGCAGATAGCTTTTTGTGGCTTCAGAACCTGTTAGCCACTTCCTTCTCTAACTAGTCTATGAGAAATACTAGTAAAAAGTGCAACCCTCTTCTGAAAGAGGAAATCGAGCTATTTCTTGAGTCCCTCCCCCACTATCTTTAAACCTCTTACTAAGTATTTGGAGTGAAATTCAGAAGGAAAATGGTTCATAAAGCTTATCTGGAAGGGGTGGCCCTATCAGAAAGGAGATTGGCATACTCACCAGAGAGGAAATATACCCAGTCGTGTGGTGATAAAAACCATGGCAAACATAACAAACAGGAGATCACACATTTTCTGAAACTTGGCGTAATTTGCCATTTTGGCAGCCTACAAAAAGAAGGAATATAATATATTAATTTAGTTAAACTGATAAATAAAGGTTTCTTTCAACATGCACGAATCCCCTATAAACTACCAGATACGTAAAACTGCCTGCTACTTTGAAATGCCATGCACCAGACTTCAGTATTCATAAATTATCCATAAGTTGGTGAAATGCAGCATTAGCCAAAAGTAGAACTACTGACTGTCACAGATTTAATAAAATATTCAGCAACCTGAAAAATTCAATTATATGCTTGATTACAGGAAAACAGAAAAAATAAGAAATTCTTGCATTATAGATATTAGCAAGTCAGAGGCTCCAAAAAAAAGTGGCATAACAGGTCAAAATAGAAAGTGCTAAATAATCCTTTAAACCTTTAATGAGTCCCGAATACTAAGGCCACAAACTTTATATAGAATATATGGGACTTTTCTGCATTTTTCTTTCTTTCTACTTAGAATTAGAAGTTTTCTTTAAATAGGCACAGGCCATACTCTGGCAGATAGTTTCCTGGTTTATTCTCATAAACTTAGAAATGAAGAAAGTGTCAAGATCACGTTATTTCAACTAATTCTTCAGAGAAAATTTTCAAAGTTACCTAGTGGGTCATTTTCTAGATGAAAGTCACTTATGTTCAAAGTATCTGTGAGAAGTACTAATAATTTATGACAGTGATTTAAGTGACAACTTTTTATATTATAAATCAGTCTTGGGAAGAAATCACATCCCTTTATGATCTACTTTTTACAGATGATTCTAAGTAAGAACAGGTGAGTCTAAAAACATAGTTTTGCTCTATCACCTCTTTTAACATTTATACATAGAATTCACAGCATCTATACACAGGGTTATAAATTGAAGATGTCTTCTGAATTTATAACATGATTTTCTATTTCTTGAAAAGTTAAATTAGCTGAGTCAAACTTGAAAAGATTGTTTACAGTATCCACAGAAGCTATAATTTAAGAGCTTTAAGTAAAGCACAGAGCTATGACAGAAATGTATTCCTAAGGCGAAATCTATTAATTGAGTGGAATCCAGGATTATGAGCTTCCAATTTCATGAATACTTTGGGTGTAACACCAAGAATTATGTTAAAAGAAAAAGCACCTTCTAAGACACAAACAAATGGAAAGATATCCCATGTTCATGGGTTGGAAGACTTAATAACATGAAAACCCAAACCCATCCACAGATTCAATGCAATCTTTATTAAAATACCAATGACATTCTTCACAGAAATAGAAAAACAATCTTAAAATTTGTATGGAACCACAAAAGAGCCCATATAGACAAAGCAATCTTGAACAAAAAGAACAAAGCTGGAGGCATCACATTACCTGACTCCAAAATATACTATAAAAGCTATAGTAACCAAAACAGCATGGTACTGGCATAAAAACAAATAGACCAATGGGATAGAATAGAGAGCCCAGAAATAAATACATGTATTTACAGCCAACTGACTTTCAAGAAAAGTGCCATGAATATACATTGAGAAAAGGAGAGCCTCTTCAATAAATGGTGCTGGGAAAACTGGATATCCACATGCAGAAGATTGAAACTAGAACTCTATCTCTCATCATATACAAAATCAACTCAAATTAATTAAAGACTTAAATTTAAGACCCCAAAGTACAAAACTACTAGAAGAAAACATAGGAGAAATGCTATATGAAATTGGACTGAGCAATGCTTTTTTGAACAAGACTTCAAAGGCACAGGCAACAAAAGCAAAAATGGACAAACGGAATTATGTCGAACTAAAAACCTTCTGCATAGCCAAGGAAACAATCAACAAAGTGAAAAGACAACCTACAAAATGGGAGAAAATATTGTATAAATTATGCATCTGACAAGGGGCTAATATCCAGAATTAAGAAGGAACTCAAACAGCTCAACAGCAAAAAAACAACCCAATTAAAAAATAGGCAAAGAACCTGAACAGAAGTCAATAGGCACGCACATAAAATGCTCAACATCACTAATCATCAGGGAAATGCAAATTAAAACCACAATGAGATATCATTTCACTCCAGTTAGAATAGCTATTATCAAAAAGACAGAAAATAACAAATGCTGGTGAGGATGCAGAGAAAAGGGAACTCATACACTGTTGGTGGAATGTAAATTAATACAGCCATTATGGAAAACAGTTCCTCGAAAATAAAATAGAAAATTAAAACTAAACAGTTCTAAAAATAGAACTACCTTATGACACAGGGATCCCACGACTGGGTACATAACCAAAGGAAATGAAATCAATATATCAAAGAGACACCTGCACTCCCATGTTCATTACAGCACTATTCACAATAGCCAAAAGACAGAATCAACCTAAATGTCCATCAATGCATGAACAGATTTTTTAAAAAGTGGTATATATAAACAACGGAATACTATTAAGCTATTAAAAAAAGGAAACCCTATCATTTGCAGCAACATGGATGGAGCTAGAGACCATCATGTTAAGTAACTCAGGCACAGACAAATGCTGCATGGTCTCACACATATGTGGAATCTTAAAAAAAAAAAAAAAGAAGAAGTGGTTCTCGTTGAAGTACAGAGTAGAATAATGGTTACCAGAGGATGGGAGCGGAAGGGATCAGGGGGACAGGAAAAGGTGGATTAACAGGTACAAAGGAATGGGTAGATAGGAAGAATAAATTCTGCTGTTCTAGACTAACTATAGTTAGAGGAATTTAATCGGCACAAAGATAAATATGTAAGTGATGGATATGCTAGGTACCCTATGTAAATCATTGTACAATATATGCATGTATTGAAACAACACACTATATCCCACAAATACAATTAAAAATAAATTGATTTTTAGAAAAAGCAACAAAAAGTACCTTCTTCTTCTGGCTAGTTGACCTATGTAATTTTCTTTCACATGCAGTCACCAGAATACAATAAATAAGCATTAAACATCAACTTTCCAGAAATGTCTAGGCCATAGATAGATCCCATTTGGAAGAGAGTCAACATTAATTTGATATTAATTCATTCATTAATTGGATATTCTCAAATCTTATTTTATAATGTCAAAGAGAATCCAGGTGATGAAGAACATTTGCTTTTAAGCCCCATTATTGGGATTCCTGAATTATTTTTCTTTTCTGCATAAAAGTGGTAGATGACAATTCAGTTAACATTTTCTAAGTCACGGCTCTACCAAGCATTATGCCAGCCATTTCCAAAGGCATTAAAGTTGGCTGATTGTACAGGATTGATTTCAAAACTGTAGGTTGCTGTATATATTTCTACTTCCAAGCATACTTAAGATTTAACCAAATGGTAATTAACTTGCAGGGGACTGCCCTTATACTAATTATATTTCTCCTTTAAAAAAATATGTTGAATAGAGTTTAGCCTGAATCACTTAAAAATTATAGTGCCAAACTATCACCTGATTTATCTAGCCCATTAGGACTATTTTTCTATTTCATAATATTTAAGGACCAGAGTTCTTAATAAAATGCTATTGTATATACTTCCACCTTAACTAATTGCTTTTATAGTGGATTCAATTTTATGTCATAGAATTTCTGCTTATATTACAATAACAAATCATTATTTGAAGGCACTTCTATATTCACAGTAACATTAAATGCTTCAAAGGTGGCAAAACTGTGGACCAACAGAAATACAACAGCCAGAATACAGATTCTAAGACCCATTTCTACATGAGATTTGTATTCTTGTAAGTTAATTTTGATCAGTCATACAAATTTCTTAGTATAAAGTCAAAAGATTTTTATTTAATTAGATAACATTATTGAGTGTGACTCTATACAGGAGTCATAATTAAGAGTAAATACCACCTCAAAATCTTCCTCGGGACTTTACCTTTTGAAATATGCTAGATCATTTTTATTTTATTTATTTTACCACTGAGGGCTTCTAATTGATAATGGTTTAGAAAGTTAACTCAAGTGCAACCAATATTTCCACAGATACTCTTTATCCTTATATGACATAGAAAACATAGTTTCTATGTAATTTGCAATTCATATGTCCTTTTCACTGTAAAAATACTTGGACAATATGTGTATTGGCAATAAGACTATGATGACTAAATTTCACTGGGATGTACAGCTCCCATCAATAACCAAACTGAGTTATATACAATTTTCAGATAAACCGGTGTGAAGCTTACAATACAAGAAACAAAACCTATTCAGAATAAGTAATGATTTTCTTATTGTAAAATCATTCGTTTTTTAAGTGTGGAATAGGAAAGGTTTTAATCATTCTACTCATAAAGAATGCTAACATGATTAACTTTTTTCTATAAAAGTTTATATACTAACTTAAAGTTTCATTTCACCAATTTAACCTACAAAGAAACACTCTGCAGTTTCAAAGCAGTCATTTATTATCATACCCAAACACCATCTAGCATAACAGAAGAACTGATGACCTTGGGGACTTCCTGAATTCTGGATTTTGTATTCTTATAGATGAAAGAAAATGTTTACCTCTAGAAGAGCATCAGCTGAATCGTGAAGACAAAGAACCAGGGTCCCTACTCGGGCCATATTGTTGACATATGAAAAGGTAATCAAGAAAATAGTTACCAGGTGGTGCAGGAACATAATGCCAAAGTCCTTGGGGAAGGAAAAAACACATCCATGTTAGGGTTTAGCAATATCACATTTCCATTCATCCATTCAACCACTGAATCAATACTTATTGAAAACCTCCATAGCCTAGCACTGGGGATACTAAAATCAGTAAGAGATCATTCTTATCCTCTGGGAGTCTACCATATAGTGGGTGAGACTCACAGGAGACCAGTGACTATGGAGAATGTGATCAATGCCAGAACAAAGGCCAGATCATAAAGGGCATTTGTACTAAGCCAAAGAATTTGAAGGTATAGGAGATATCGCCACAGGATTTTAAGCGAAGAAGGGCACTACCTGAATTTGAATTTTAGGAAGATCTTTAAGGATAGCATGTAGGTCCAACTGAACCTTTCTCTGAGTACTGGAGGCTGGGCTTCTAAAGGTACAGGTTGTGTTCCTTACCAGAGTGTGGCATCTTTGTGGGGAGAACAGGGTAAGGTAAAGAGGAAGAGGGCACTGTATGGCTCTCAGACATGAGAGTGCAGGCTAAAGAAGGCCTGATAAACCATATGGTAAGGTTTAAGGCAGTGCTATGGTCTGAATATTTGTGTCCCACGAAATTCATAGGTTAAAATCCTAACACCCAAGGTAATGGTATTAGGAGGTGGGTCCTTTGGGAAATGATGAAGTCATGAGGCCAGAACCCTCATGAATGGGATTAGTGCCTGATATGTTTCGAATGTGTTCATGTGTTGGAAATTTAATCCCCAAAGCAATAGTTTTGGGAGGTGGTGCCCAATGAGAGGTAATGAGGTCATGAGGACCCTGCCCTCCCTCATGAATAAATTAATGCTGATATCATGGGACTAGGCTTGTTATTGTGGGAGTAGGTTTGTTATAAGAATGATTTTTGCCCTCTCTTGCCTTTCTGCCTTCTGCCATGGGATGACACAGCATGAAGGCCCTTGCCAGATGCCAGTGCCATGGTTTTTGGACTTCCCAGCCTCCAGAACCATGAGTCAAATAAATTTCTGCCTGTTATAAATTACCCAGTCTGTGGTACTCTGTAACAGCAGCACAAAATGGACTAAGTGCCCTAAAGAAAGGAGCCCCAAAGAGCTGCCTTGCCCCTTCCTTCATGTAAGGACACAGCTAGAAGATGCCATTTATGAATCAGGCAACAAGTCCTCATGAGATACCAAATCTGCAGCACCTTGACCTTGAACTTCCCAGCCTCCAGAACTGTGAGAAATAAACTTCTGTTGTTTACAACAGAAGTCTACAGTATTTTATTATAGCAATCCAAACAGATTAAGACAGGTGGTGACTGCTTTTTGTTATCTCATAGATTTCTTGGAATGTGCATCACAGTGTTAGTTAGCATCCTTCTGGAAAATGCCTATTGCGCTACTAAAATCAGAATCCTAATATGTTGGCTTTTCTGATGGGTAATATACAAACAAGCCCTGAATTTTAACCATTATCTGTCCATGGTCATTGGAAAAAAAACATTTGGCAGAGAAATAGTAGATCAACCATCTTTATTTTGGTCAGCTTCAAGGGAGCTACTTCTTGGCCCAAGTGACAAGATAATTTTTCTCTGATATTATTTCCTGATCATCTGGACATGGTTTGCTGCAATATGGAATTTCTGTTGCTTAGAAACATAATCTCTCTTTCACTAATATTGTAATTCTAATCTATATTTCTCCTATTCTCTGGGATTAAAATGCCAAGATTGGCCCTAATGATGCTGTATTTGAAGCCTCTGGAGAAAGGAGACCACTTCCCTAAATATCATTCATCTAGAGACAAATAAATTAGCCAAAATGAAATGCATATCATGAAAGACCTATAAACATATTCTGATTATTAAAAAGGGCAACATGTGGGTTAAATCTGGGGGAACTTCTAAATTTCTATCCTGGGAAGTCAACATTCATATGGCCATTTATTCATTAAAAATACTCATTGAACATTTACTATGTTCCAGACACTGTTCTAGGCTTTGGGGATACATAAGTAAACAAAATAGACAAAGATTCTTGCCCAGGTGGAACATATATATTTTACTGGGGGGAAAACAGACCATAAACATAATAAATAAACGACCCCTTAGGTTGGAAGGTAAAAAGTGCTATGAAGAAAAAAGGAGCCGTCATGATAAGCGGGGTGGGAGGTCCCCGTTGCTGGGGAGGTAGATGGCAATAGTAAACAGTGGGGTCAGGGTCAGCCGCTCCAAGAAGGTGTCCTAAAGAAGATGAGGGAGCTAGCAGGACACAGAATATTCCAGGCAGAGAACGCAAACAAGACACAGGCTCTAGCCATCATCTTTCCCTTATCCTGACATATCAAGGAATAGCAAGGAGGTTAGTGTGGCTGGAGTAGAGGAAGAGGTAGCAGGGGTAGAGGGTAGAGTGGAAGCATCACAGATTTTTTTTTCTTACTAGCTTCTTTCTATTTACTACCATTATTTTTTAAAGATATTTTAATTTTGTTGAATAGAAACTAATCACTCCATGACTTAATATCTCATACATAACCACTCTAGGCAACATTTGTTCTCACAGATGAACTGAAAGGTTAAGGAGTCAAGAATAAAATTATTTACAGGACTTTAAAGACTTAATTTTATTTACACATTGGAGCAGCTACAAAGCACGTACAGGCACTCTCTAATACTACTCCTAGTCATCATCACAATGAAACTGGACTAGGTTTTCATTCCTAAACATGTCTTTATAAACTCCTTCCTTGGAGGTTCCCTTGGGACTGCTCTTAGGTTTGTTCTGAGAATCAGTGTGGGCAACAGTCCTTCAATCAAGCTACTTTGACTTTTCTCTGATTTATGTAGGCACCAACAACTAGATCAGGTTGCGTCCTCAGTTCCTTGTAAATTCAACTCAATCTTTTACCCAATGGGAAGGTGGAGGACCTAGTGGTATCTCCTCTTTCTCTGAGCTGTCTTGAACCTTCCCTCTGCAACCATTTAACTCTCATGGCTCCTGCCCTGGTCCCTGACTCACTGACTGGAAGAGCCACTTTCTTTTGGGACCCTACTTACCTATCCTGGTTCCACAGTCACCTTTTCCACAACTCAGATAGGTCTCTGTCTCCAATTTCTATAATCCAGTTCGATTCAATTAAACAGCTATTTTTTTATTCAGTTTGTCTGTGGTTAAGGCAACTTCTATTTTAAAATAAAAGTTCAAGAAAGATAAAACCAGGGTCTATTAACATGACTAGACTCCTGAAGAATGTATGCATCTTATTTAGCTCAATGGACAATTATGGAGCACGTATCACATGAGAACCAATTTGTAATCCGGGCTCCAATTCTTATTAATTTTGTACTTTTTGGTAAGGGCATTAATTTCCTCATCTTAAAAATTAAAACATTGGGGCCAGCCCGGTGGCGCACTGGATAAGTGCGCCGCTTGGGAAGCGCGGCGGCGCTCCCACCCGAGGGTTCGGATCCCACATACAGACCGGTTCCCGCTCACTGGCTGAGCGAGGCGCGGGAGCAACACCGAGGGTTGCAATCCCGTTGCCGGTCCCCGGTCCAGTACGGGGGCAACACTGAGGGTTGCGATCCGTTGCCGGACACGGAAAAAGATAAAAGACAAAAAAAAAAATTAAAACATTGGATCAGATTCTTTTTAAGCTGAGCTGTCAATTCTATAATCTAGGCTTGGTAGCTGCAGTGATTAAACAGCATTTGAAATCTTTAATCTACTAATTTCATACCTGTGTAAATTAGAATGAAAGCGAGTGAGCGAGCACAGGTGCACACACACATGCTCTTTATTCAGTAACCCAGTAGCTGTGGATGTCACTACGGTGTGGGGTTTGAAAAGTCAGCTTCAACAGCCTTGTTGAAATGGTTCTGTGCACATTTTGGTAAACATACCCAGAGGTTACTTTTCTCCCCTGGAAAGTGCCTAACATTTATGGATAACCATACATATTGATTTATTACTAGGATAAACAGTATACTCGTTTCCTAAATGAAGTCAGATAACTTTAAAAAATGAAGTACAACTTAATCTTTTATTTTCTAGCCTCTAAACTAGTTGTGTTACATTGATGGTGGGTATCGCTGTCTTGCATCAGTTAATTCTAACTGGACACAGCAGAACTGAGTATTGCAGACTTTTGCTGCAAGTTGACCTACCACTATGCTCATCCCTCCAAAACCACATTTGCACCTAGTTTTCAGCTCACTGGCAGAAGAGAAACAATGATCATAATCTGAGTTTAGTAAGTGATTATGTACAAATGCAACTCACCAGTTTTCCCTACTTCTGAAATTCTCTGACATTCTTGTAGTATCTAGTGTTCTCCTGAATTACTAAAGTTAGATAATACCAAAATGCTGTAGGCATACAATAAAAATTGCACTGATAATGTTTTCCCTTGAAAGATGAAATCTATTGTCTCCACGCTATTGTTTATTGGTTCCATCACCTGGAGTATAGTGTTCTATAAGACAATAACTACTTCAAAACAATGAATCAATTAAGGTAGAGCTAACCTATCAACTAATACTTTCAACTATTTCCTAAACATAATTACATGAAAACATACAGTGCTTAATTCAACAGTTCAAATGAGTATATATTTGCACATACTTAATAAGCAGATTTTAAAGTCTAACCAGCTGAGTACCTACCCAGAACAATACTTTCCACATGTCCCATTGGTCAGCCCTGAATAATTGCTCTTGGATCATTGAAAGGGAGTAAAAATTTTTCTCTATTCAATTTTAAAATGAATAAATATAAATTAATTAAAACATTCATGGAGGATTAGGATCATTTTATAATTAAGTTTTCTAAGTATTACATTACATAAATGTCAATAAACAATACAACTTCCCTGGCAATATAGCAAGGCTCCTTTAAAAATAAGAGTCTTGTTTTTCAGACAAAGTTTGCTTTGTGAAGATGATTTTTGTATATAAATCCCCTGGTCCTAGAAAACATTTGTTTTATTACTGAGGGGCTCAGAGTTATCCCCATGGCAGAAGACCAATTTTC